CAGGCGCGCTTCGTCGGAGAGACCTACCTAGGGATCTCGACAGCCTCTGCAAGTCTTTGAATGAACTGATCCTTGTGCGTGTCAACGTAGGACAGGAAATCTGCTGGCGCCGCCATGGGTGTAGACGAGAGTGCTGTGGTTAACGTTGTACTGTAAGTGCAGAGGATAAAGAGAGTTGCCAAGTTATCTTTGGTTATCTCGCAGATCTGAGCGCGTCCTGCCGCCGGGCAGTGCCGGCGATGCCGAGAGTTAGACGCCCGAGACATGTTGCACCTCGTCTCGCCCACGTCCAGCTCGAATCCGATCGACTCAACTCAACAACTCGATGCAGCAGCAAAGTACCCTCGATCAGATTGATGTAACGATCATTATGGTGGGTATCTATATCCTCTAGCACCAGTGAAAATCCGCAGAGCTTTCCTACGGTAAATTCTTCAAAAATCTGCGTGTAAGTATCCTTCCACTCCCCTCCTCGAAAACAACTACCACTGCACAGATGCCTTGGGAAGTGTCCAATCATTGCCATACACACTCCTAAGTAACCACTCCATCCCAAGGGTCCGTGTAAGCCGGCATCGTGCATCTTCCCTCCACTGAACACTCTTTTCGCGCCCTTGGCCCTCCTCAAGCCATAGCTGGGCTGTGGTATCCCGCTCGTGCGCGTCCGCTACCCACCACTGGTAGTACCACCAAGTGCTTCCGCATTCCCCAATCGGCGTCGATGCGTCTTTGGGGACACCTTCAGATGCAGGCGCTTTTCCGTCGTACAGATGCACCGAGAAGAAATGTGAAGGAAACAGATAGAAGAGCGCGTTGATGAGAGTCTGGTCTTTTCCGACAAAGATGCCTTGCGCCAGGTATCGATCGTGGTATTCATAGTATAGATCGTGATATCGCGTAATCGCCTTCAGCGCGCCGCCGAAGAAGGAGCCTGACGGATGGGAGGATCAGTACTCGAGTGCACTGAGCCAGAAAGACGCTCACCTTCGCTTACTGTCTCATCTATGGGACCCATATCCTCCTTCCACCCACTGAATCTCTCCGGCGGCCCATTCCAAATAGGGAAGAAGATAAGGTCCTCCTTCTCGGAGCCCGTCAGACGCGCGCCTTCCGCAAATACCTGCCCCACGCGGCGGCCTCCAGGCCAGTCTCGGTACCGATTATTATCGCGCATGCTCCCCGCATCGCTCCAAAACGCGTAATCGTACGTCTTGCCAAGGGACTCCGCATTCTTCACGCCCTCCACGAGGAAATATGGCTTCCCGTTCCAGACGGCGTACAGCTCTGGTGAATGATAGGCCTTCTCGGGATCCTGCTCGTGCATCGCCACATACTGCGCATCGAGCCCCTTGAGCGGCGGAATGTCAAATGGGGACGTGAAGGACGTGTTGAGCGTGAGTGGGAGGTCTCCGCGCAGTGCGCGGATGAGAGGAGCGACGTCGGGCGGGCAGAAGAAGTAGAGGTCGCTGGTAATGGGCTGCAGAAAGCGACGAAACCAGGCCTCGTAGTCGGACATGGGATGCTTCGATTTCGAAAGCGGGAAGAAAGCGGAGACGAGGAGGACGCGCGGGGTGGGTGGGAACGTGGCCGCCTGCAGCGCAGTGGAGGAATCGAAAAAGAAGACATAGTAGAGCGTGAGGGAACTGAGGCAGAACGCAAGGACGAGGCTCCTGAACCCTGTGTTGCCGGTGAAGAAGAGACGACGAGACATGGTGGGGAACGACAAGGAGTGTTCGGCGAGGCATCGGTGAGTAGATATGTTATCGGCGGAGAGCGCTATTGGTCTGGATCCCTATGAGCCGGAGGTGGGCAACTGAAGCCGCGAATGAAGGTGGTTAGGCTAATCGAGACCGAATGCAGTGGACGTGCATAACTGCCGCCGGCGGTGATGTAGCGATGACGCAACACCAAGAAAGCATAAATATTTAGCGCCCGCGACAGGTCTTGCCCTCCAGATGTAGCAGAGGATATATACATAGCAGGTTTCAACGTAGGCCTGTCGCGAGGCTTCCCAATCTTGAAACAACTCAGAGGCACGGTGAGCGAAAACATGACTTAGAGCGAGAAACAGACTGACCTTTCAAATTTCAGGCATGAACTACCTGTAGATCGCATCCGCGCTCCGATAGCTGTGTCAGTTGGCACTGCAAAGTCATTTGCCGTCCTCTCGTCCCGATATTGCCAGACCATATTCCCCATGGTAAGGAAAGTAAAGCGTGACATCGAGCGAGTCAATCGGCGGAGGAACGGCTTTCTCGTTTCTCATTGTTCCAAGCATCGAGTAAGGGTACTTACCCGCTGCAGGCCGTACATATTTTCCTTGAGAAGAACAGGATTGAGGTTGACGTTGCATCTCCGCCTCCCGACATTTTACGTGGACGACGGCGACTCCTTACCGTCACAGCACCGCCTCAGCCAAGAAGAGATCTGCGTTCTGGAACCTCTTGACAGCTGTTTGCAATTCGATTAGATATGCAAACAGCTCGGATTGGTCAAAGTAGCCGCACAGACTGTCCATCAATATGTGAACCTATTCAGACAGATTAGCACTCTCGTATATTTCAATTCGACGACTAGTCTACGTTAATTCTTGTACCGTCTTCGCTGCACCTTCTCGTTATTGACTTGGTGTTCTACTGCTTGGCTTTGATAAGCCCGGCCATCATATCGAAGCTATTTCCGTCTGGCTGTAGGTCGATGTAGCCCTCGTCGTTCGTCGTCCTAGTACCCCGGGACCCTCCAGACCGCTCGGGCACGGTGCGCAGCAGCCCATGGTCAAGCGTGATGCCGATGATGCGCACCGGAAGCGAGGGCGAGACGGTTGTCAGCGTCACCAGCTGATCGCTAGGATCATAGTTGAGTGGAACGGGCGGCCCTGAACAGATGCGGCAGACGTACGAATGCATCCACACATCGAGGTAGTCGTCCGCGAATGGCGCCCAACTGGCGCGTTCGCGCAGGAATGACTGCCACATGCCGTCAAACTTGCTGAGGATAAGCGCGAGCACCATCTCCATGCTCAGCGGCCTATCGGGCGGTGCAAGCAAAGAAAGCGCTGCGATGGGGTCCGCCGTGGAGATGTTCAGACCGCAGCCTGTGTGATCCCAGCTCTCGCGAGTGTCCTCAGCGTCGGATCAGGTGCTACTCACCGATGACAATGTCCACCGTCTTTCCCAAGAAGTTCGTGTTTACGAGCACGCCGCCGACTTTCTTCTTCTCTCCAGTGGGTGTCTCGATGTAGATGTCGTTGGGCCACTTGAGGCGCACGCGCGAGCCTTCTCCGCCGAGCGCACGAGGATCACGCAGGGCATGTACGACGGCGAGGCCGAAGAGGTACTGGATAAAGACGAGACGCGACACGGAGAAGCACGCGAACGGCACGCGAAGCAGGATCGAGAACTGGAGGCATCCGGCGGGCGAGAGCCACGAGTTCGTGCCACGACCACGGCCCGCAAGCTGGAAGGACGCGAGCGACACGAAGGGAGATGGCAACCCCCTGAGGATCTGGAGATTTCTATCCCAGAGATGAGAGGCACATACACATGGAGGGAAGAGGGGCGTACTTCTCGAGCATGGTTTGCGTGCTCGTCACTGCTTCACCGTACAGCAACGCGTCGCCAATGCCCCATGTGCCATCGGAAGTCCGCGTCTCTGCAAGCAACTTGAAGAAACGCGCGACGTCGAATCTGGGTGTCAGCTCCCGAACCGCCTCAGAACCCACTGGGAGGACAACGATGTCCTTAGGGCTGCCTTCGCCTTTGGGCTGGAGACGGGCATTGTCGAGCAACTGCTTCCCTTCGCTCGGCGAGAGAAAATGAAAATGGAACGTGTCTACGGTATCAACGAGGTCAGCGGGCGAGGTTGCCGTGGTGTCCGGCAGAGTGACAGGCAGCGAGGCCTTTGCCTTCTCGGCGATGTGTGGTCTGGCAAAGAGGAATTGGGGGAGAGGGTGGGTGGGCGCGGGAGGGAGAGCGGGCGCATCTACGTCCATCGCGACGACTGAAGCCGATGGAGGGGGGAGTGAAAGACCCAGTTGGGAGAAGGCATGCCGGAGGATAGCAGAAATGGCTCCTGTCTGGCCGTCTGCCAGCGAGACATCCCACAGAGCGATGCGACCGTCGCCCACCGCCAGCTCGATTCCTGCGACGGGGTCTGTGCTTGGTCTGCTTTCCATTGCACCAGCCATACCTGCAGCATGGGGCTCCCAGCGTGCAAGACAGCTCCACCGAGGCTTGTCCAACAAGGCGAAGTTTGCACCCTCCTTCCGCAGGCCCGCTACCACATCCCCTGACTGCAGACGCACACTTGCCTGCGGGCGCGGCTCGTCGCGACTCGCAGACGCGACCATCTTCACAGCTACCCTCGACGTCTGATCCCAAAACTCAAGCTCTCCCAATGGCGACGGTACGCCAGCGATCGATACGCCCCATCCGAGGCCCAAGACGCGTCCACCCGCTGAGAGGTAACGTTGCACAGCCTGGATTGCAGGCTGAGACACCGGGAGAGCAGCGTCGTGAGCATGGAGGACAAGGAGGGCACAGGATCCTGTCCATGGGTAGGTCGCAAGAGAGACGCTTGTGATTGGCTGTACTGTGTAGTTTGGATTGAGCAGAGGGCGGATGGTCGTCAGCGTCTCAGGTGACGGCGTGTAGATCAGGACGTCCATAGCAGAGTGGTACGTATTGCGAGAAGTGCGGCTGCGATGGAATAATTCACGTCAAGAAGGAGTGAGCGAGTGCATGAAAGGAATCGTTTTAGAACAGAATGTGATAGATAGGTCGGGGTACAATTCATATTCAACTATAGGTGGCCCATTATGATTGAATTGAATTTAGTACTTGCTATCGCCGCTCGGCATTCGGACACCCAATGACCCCCGGCGGAACGTCCGACAAAATCTATGACTCTGAGCATAATGCAGCCTACACGTAGGAGTACTGCAAGTATCACCAGCTGGGCTAGCAACAAAACATTGGGCACGAAAGGAGAAACCTCTAAATTACCGCCGACGGGTATCGAACCCGCAACCCCCACCTATACAACACAGCTGTAGGAAGGTGATGCGCTACCATTGCGCCACGACGGCATCATGCAATTTCAGCGTATAGACAAATCTAAGGGTATCTCTAGCATTGACCTCACCGAAGAATCAGGATCAGTGTGAGTCGAGCCACTTCACTTGACGTGGTGGAAGCTTATTTATATGGCCATACCCAGTGCGAACTGTGCTACCTGTATTTGTCAAGTATGACAACGACAGGACCCGGATGCCTCGATGAATTAATCAACCGTCCAATTGATCGTTGTTCGGATCCCTGGAAGGGATAAGGAGATAATCAGGCCCTTGTCACGGTTCGAATGAGGGGTCTGTAATGACAGCCTCCAGTCTGTAGACGATGGTGTCCAGACTCAGTCCAGCTTACCCGTTGTGCCGAAGTCAGGCCCATGGGCCACTTGTTGTACAAACAATTCATATTTCCGACGCAAAAAGGCAGAAATATGAAAGCACATCACGCTTGACCAAGACCCAAGCATATGAGTACTTGGTCCAATACATGTCAGTTCGACGATGGCTTGCCCGACCCGACCAGCCTATTTGTCGACTGTTTGAAGGCGAAGCAGTCAGGTCTACCGGAAGCTGCCGGGAGCCGGATGCCCGGACGCCGAGGGGAGCAAACTCTGCTCGACCGCTTGTCGACCGCGACTTGCACCTTATCGTACTCGCGCCACCGTCAAGTCCTCTCCTGTACTATTATCCTCTCACTCTGCACGACGTTCGCAACCCCAGCTATAACTTCAGACACCTGTCCCACCTTCCCAGGCCCCACAACAGTCATGTTCTCGCACGACTGTCGAAGATATCGTTAACCTCCCGGCTACGTCAGCGCTAGCAGAGCCACGACAATCTGACCCAAAGCAAGTCGCAACGCAAGCAACAGACGAACACCAGCGCTACAAGCGGGTATCTTGGCATGCAAGTATATCTTTGAAGATTGGTATATTTTTCATACCATGCCTGCCTGAGCACTCGTCTTTCGTGGAGACGGCGCACCAGTACACCGCGCCAATCCTGTGTGTGTGCAATTACCAACAGCGCCACTGAGACGCATCTTGGCCACGTGGGCAGGCAGGTGGCAAGTCGTGCTAGGTAGCATTGGTGGTCTTCTAAAGCATTTACGCCAGCAGCCACTGCATCAGCTCCATTCACGACCCTCTACACGAAGGCGTCAATCTTCTTGGAAACTCGCTACATTGACCATCACCTTCACACGGGGCCCTCTCTGCCCAGGTCATCTTCAGATCCCAAACACAAGAATAGCACGTCAAGTGACGGGTACGACGCGCCATACCGCTCGTTCAGGATGGGTACAATTATCGGATTATGATCCTCGGAGGTCGCTTGACAAGGTTCGCCCGCCTGTATGTCTCTCCTTCTTCCCTTCCAGAATCTTTCTTAGTGCATCTGGACGCGGAGGAACCCCGACTGCCGAGTAATCATCTACGTCGTATGCATCGACAGGTATGCTTCCTTCAGGGAGTGGGAAGTACGCGTCGACCAAAGCCCGATCTTCTTTACTCAGCACATACGGCGCAGTTTCACGATGGTATTCTTTCCTCCCAGCCGACTTGGCGACAACCAATCGGACCTCCCAACCAGGGGCGCATCTTCTGCCAGTGCACGCTGTACTGGACAACCGATACTGACAACCGAACTTCAACAACCGCACTCAGCAGCGTTTCAATCGGTTCATCCCTCACCCCAGCGGCTCCCCCACGTCACCTCGCTTCACCGTGCCCAAACGACCCTTCCAACACGCCAACCCTCGTTCTGCGAAAGCACGTCAAACACGGCGCTACTTTCCACTTCTCACCAGCAGGCTCACCAGCAGGCTCACCTTGACGTGTACCCGAGTTTCACGTCCATCTGTACAGTACGTATCGTCACGCCTGCCAGCGGCGCTTCGTTCGTCCAGATCACGATCGAATGAACGCGTATGCCCCGGACAGGGTACGCTGAGCTGTACCCCATGATTCACTCTGCGGATCGTTACGGCGCGGCGGGTCAATTGCACCCTTCCTGTGCAAGTAAATAAGCTGCGAATAGGACGCCTGATGCCGCTTATCGGAGCCCTGGTGGGAGATAACGAGCACTGCGCTCCCCCAGGTCATCTCCATAATTCCATGTTTTTCTCCAGCCATCCTCAAGGATATCGTACATCTGTCCGGACACGCCCCCGATCTCCGAACCCCCGAAATCCGGATCCAAATGCGCATTGCCAGCCCGCCAGCCGCAGCGACGTACGCGATAAAATATATGCGCATTCCCCGAGCGCATTCTATCGCGCCCCCACGTTTCAAAACCACGCTGGGCTGGTCCACGTACCATCCAGCGATCGCGATGCATTTCGCCGTCATCACGACGCCCCGCCTGCGCGCCCCCATGGGGTACTCCGCCTTCGCGAATCTCCGCAGCCGCTTAACCATAGGCTTTTCCGCCGGGCGCAGGCGAGTCACAGCGCATCGATGAGGCACGCCTGCATCTGCGTCCCTTCCCCGACTGCATACGCGCTCCATGCAATATTCCATGTCCGGTGCCCCGAATGGCGGCGGGGCCTCGGGAACAGCCGCGCGCAGTCCAGCGCATCTCTTGCCCGCTGCGTACCCCCTTTCCCCGGCTGACCGCCGCGAGCCTGAATGTGAGTGTCGCTGCGAGAGCGTGGGCATTGATGAGGACGTCTCGACCGGCGGCGCGCGCTCGCCTCCGAGATGCCAATTTCTGCGCAAGAATATCTATAGCCTCAGTTCGCATTCTCCCGAGGTCGTGATGGGATGTCAGTACAGTCGGACCTCCGCACGATGCTTATCGAGCGGAAGGTACCAACTCAGTCCGTAACGTAGACCTAGGACTCATGATAATAAGTAGTCCTCGCTCATCCCAAATCCAAAATGAGAAAACGGGGCTATATAGTTCGTGAATTTGTCCCTTCCGGCTATCTTCGTGCATCAACACATGCATCACCAGGTCCCGGCTGAGCGTGCGGGGTCGGGGGATGCCGACCGCCTGCACGCACGTTATAACTTATACCCCAGACGGACTGCAAAGCCGACGTGACATTGACATCGAGTGCCAGCGAGCGAGCGGGCGATAGGAATTCGCGAGCGGTACGTACCATGATATATGGCCATGGGGAACGGGACAGCCACCGTGCCGGCGGCCTGCGCACATAAGCCTCGGCGACAGCGCAGCCTGTCAACCGGACACCGTCGACGTCTAATCGCAGGAAATGAAGTCTCGGAAGGACCCGAGAGGCGCGCCGGCGATCCAGCTGCGGGCGATATTCGGGCGACAGGCAGGCGATCGCGGATTGCGTCATGGCTGGCATAGCTGGTTGCGCGGACGCACATGTATTTCTCGGAAGCACATCGCCTGGCCGAGGGAGCGCGGTTCAGGTTTGCAACATTTTGCAGCGGGATGGGGAACCGGCCTCGCGTCGCTGTAATTTCGCAAGGCAATTTTATCTCCCCATGGGCCACCGGCGTGAGGCGAGGGGCGCGAAGGTAGATGCTGATACGCCGCCAGTAGGATAAAAGATGCATCGCTGGTATATTATTGGGGATTCTAGAGGGTTTGTGTGTACGTCGTTCCGAGGAAGTGAGCCGGCTTGTGATGGGCTGCCATGGCTGTACATGATGTACGGCTGGCTGTCGTAAATGCCAGTAGAACAATAAGGTACCCCCGCACCCACACATGTGGGGATATTTTCCCCAAGCGGAAACGCACCTCGTCCAGCGCGAGCAGGGAGGCTCGTCCGCTCATCCCGGAAAAAAGCAGCCAGTGGCCCAAAATATATATTCGAGTGGACGAGGATCCTGGACCCTGCCAGCCGGGCAGCCGGCGCGAGCAGGCTGTCAAGTACAGAGGTCTGAGAACCTGAAAACCTTCTATCAAGATTACGAGAAGAACGCACATAATGGCGAGAAAGCCTATCCGCGAGGAGGCAAGGGTACAGGCACGCCTTGTGGGGATCAGGCTGCAAAATATCGGGAAATCGCAGAGTGCCGAAGTGCCATGGCTGCTCGATCTGCTGGCCCGTGTGCGGGGGACGTCCGTCGCCGACGTCCGATGGGCTCTGGTAGCCAGTGGTAGGTCCCGCGCGGGGACGGCCGAGCGTGCAGCGGCAGGGGCTCGTCCGATCTATGCGCGATCTCGTGCGCGCGCCTGAGTCAATCTGCCGTGCCGGGCATCCGACGACGCAGAGGGCCCGGCAGAGGCTGAGACACAACCTGCGCGCAATGCATCACACCTGCGCATATGGCCGTGAACACTGCTCGGCCGTTCCCGACGGGGCGTGCGAGGGCCCGTCTGCAGGGAGGGCGTCGCGGGGATACCGTACGGGGGTGGGGAGGGGACGGGCGTGCAGACGTGCAGCTGGACGTCCAGTATCGCACCGTATCCCCGTCGAGGCTCGACGGACGCAAACGCACGCCCGTTGCACCCGTTCGTCTGGTTCGATCCTCGGATCGGGCAGTACGGCGCCTCCGAATATAGGGCCCTCTGTCATTGCGATCCCTGCTATCCCTGCATAAGCCTCCCATGCTATCCATCTCACCATTCATCAACTCCCTCCGAGCCCTTATAACTCCCCACACTCCCCCGCACCCCCTCCAGCCCCCCCTCTCGCACACAATGTCGTCCCCTCTTCAATCCACCCCCGTCGTCCTCGTCACCGGCGGCACAGGCCTCGTCGGCTACGCCCTCCGGCATGTCATCGAGACAGAACTCGTCGGCTCGCGCTACGGGCGGCGCGAAGGCGAGCAGTGGGTGTTTGTCAGCTCGAAAGAGGCAGATCTCAGGTCGGTCGCGGTCCTGCCCACTTTCGCACACACCGCGGTTCTCACAACGTAACACGCTTGCTTCCGACTTCGCGCATTGCAGAGATCCAGAGCAGACCCGCCGCCTCTTCGAAAAGTACAAGCCCACCCATGTCATCCACCTCGCCGCCCTCGGTGAGTCGCGCGACGTCGCCTCCTGTGTCCGCGTCACTGACCCAGCCTGCAGTTGGCGGCCTCTACAAGAACATGAAG